GGAACATCTAGTCGGATGGGTTAAATTTATTCGAACCGGACAGGAAAAACCTGCTATCCTGTGTGTGTGCACTGACAGAAGGCGGTAGAATGTGACTTTGTGAAAGCTCTGTGAGGTTAAACGATTGAGACCCCACAGATAGCAACACGGAAAGGGTGATATTGTCACGGTCGGATGAGAGGTAATCGGAAAGCGAAAAATATCCCTAATTAGAGGTGCATTACGACACGACGATCGTGATTGGCATTAAAACGAAACCTCACATTACACCGCAATGAGAGCCAAATTACCCACCAAAAACTGGGTGGGGCTGGATTTTGTTGACTATCTTTATTTGTTCAAAAAGAACACGCTATGTGAGCCAAGGTTCAGCGCTGGAGGAAACCGATGCGTTTAGATCTCGACTACATTCGGCTGAATGTGGAGTATACGGAAGGACTACTATCAATGAGCTAAACGCATGAATAGTCTACCATCTCTATGACACTGCAGACGTGGCATTGACAGTATCAACTATTTATTAGAAAGGGGAAAACAGCATACACAAATGCGAAAACTCCATCAACGGTGGGAGAAATTAACTGTTTGCGGTGTCCGGATTTGGAGAAAAAGATCCATTGTTGATGGTTATGAATAACTATCATCGCTGGCACCGAATTTATCGGCAAGGTGGTTTTAGTTGCTAGTGAGTATTTCGCAGCAACTGTGGTTCAGGTACCCATGAGACGGAAATAATAGACAATCCGTGCTGCCAGGATTCAAACATCAACACCTTCGAAACCGTCTCTGTAAAAACAAACGACAAACTGTAGTCTACACGAGTCTTCCTGGTGTAACACAGGATTACTTGATGGGTGTGGCACTGCGAGTGCGTGATATAGGGCAGGACAAATGCAGTTCTAGTTCGCTTCGGAAATCAAGTCAAGTCAAGAGACATGGCAATGGTCAAACTGCTGAGTCGCTGAATCGATCTATATGATCACAAAAATCTTTGCAAGAGCCTTTAAGCAGCTAAGAAGAGCTCCTGAGGATGTAGAAACAAGGATGTTTTTCTGTCCTCTAAGATACTTAGTCGACTTTATGAGACCGAGTACTGGGTCAACGGTATGCGTCTGAATGAAATTGATTTGGCTACATGACTTCACTTCGATGATGAAGAAATGTCTACGGCTCCGAGTTTGCTACTCAAAACCGTAAAGAGAAGGCCG